AGACTGGTGGAATACCGTCAACGTGGACAGGAAGGGGCAAGATACAAGGTTTAATGACCCATGCAGAGCTGTTCAAGTCGAAGGATCATGTTCACTTGACTTTTATGTGGATATGTTCAAAAAAGCTGATTCAGGACAGGGGCCATTGCGTGTACAGTCTTTCACACATGACACAAAGAGAGCATTGGTCCAAACTATGGCGGGCCTGAAGGAAATGTGTGTTCACCTACTGAACAAAAAACAGTTCCAGTATGTAGATATCTAGTTCTGCGTCAACTCCAGAGTGATAGGCTTGAGGGTGAGTTTGGGTTCTTTAGGAAGTCAACAGCAGTTAAAGCCTTCTTGACTAGTGCTGATGTATTTGCTGCATGCAACAACAAAAAAAGACAAAACATTTCGACACTAATCTCGAAACTCTAGGACTGAAGCCTGTGCCCCAGGAACACACTTGTCTGGATATAAATGGAAATGGAAATGGTATGGGATTAACGCCCCTATCAACACTATTAGGTTATTTAAGGGGCGGGACCTCCTAGTTTAACGTCCGTCTCCGATAGGACCGAGCCAAGTGGGAAGTTTGTGTAAAGTGCCTTTCCCAAGGACACAACGTCGGACCAACCTGAGGCTCGAACCCCCGAACCCGCAACCTCACAATTACGAGTCCGGTAGCCTAACCACTAGGCTACCGACGCCACCTGGATATAAATATCAACATTGATGATGCAACTACCATGGAGCTCTGTGTTACAAACGTTGACCTTACTGACTTTGAAGAAAGCAGCGCTGCGTATGATGCTGGTTGGCTCGAAAAGAAGTGCTTGAATGAGTTGACCTTTTCATATGAGGATGAGCTTGTCAGCAGTGAAGCCATAGACTTCATAGAGACTGTATCAAGAGGCTCATTGGATATTCCGCATGCGTCCACTTTTCAGCCTGTGCGACTTGGACTCAAATTCATGAAAGAGGCTCGGTAGCGTGCATGCTGTCGGAATAGATTGGTGAAGATCCTCGAGATGCTAATGGGATTCTACGGCATTGACATCACCTGTCCGAGAGTCTTTAATCACCTGTCACGATGGCCTTTGCGAGCAGAGGCTGGAAATCTGTGGTGCTTCTCCTTCTGATAGTACTCCTAGCCCATGAATTAACATTTGTAAGTAAATTAGGAAGTGATAATTCATTTCACTGACGTAACCAGATACAGCCTGCTACACATTTATATTTCCATTTTTCTTGATTATAGAGTGCATTTTTGTGTAGAAGTTTTAAGAAAAAACACACTTCAATACACAGGGCCTCAACACTCTTAACCAAACAAAACCTCCATTACAACTGCTTTGCTCACACCTTAAATTTGGTTATGAAAAATGCTATAAAGGAAAGAACAGAGATGATGTTAGCTAAAACAAGAGTGAAAGACAAAGTGACTTTCTTTTACAGAAGCGTTAAAGCAAAGCAAATGACACTCAATAAAAACTGTTCAGAAGTCAAGATGGCTGAAAAAAAACAAACTGATACTGGAAGTTGACACAGGACAGAAGAGCTCTTATGACATGTTGAGTTGGTACATTCAACAACACGACGCTGTCACCAACGCACTGTGTCTCCTTGATAAAAACACCCATGTGTGTAAAAGAAAAGTAAAGATGAAATGGTATCGGTTTAAAGCCCCTATCAACACTATAAGTATTTAAGAGGTGGGACCTTCGAGTTTAACGTCCATCTCCGAAAGGACCGAGCCAAATGATAATTTCATTTAAAGTGCCTTTCCCAAGGAGACAATATCGGACCGAGCTGAAGCTTGAACCCCCAAACCCGAAGTCTCAGGATTACAAGTCTGGTAGTCTAAGCAACCCCATGTGTGTCAACAGTGATGAAAGAGCAGTGATTAGGAAAGCAGTGGGAATCCTGGAACCCTTCTATGACGTCGCTGTTGAATTGTCAACAGAGATGCACACGTCTCTTTCCAAATTTATTCCCATTGTGTCTTTGCTGCAGAAAGTCCTTTGAGATTCTCAAGATCAAGACATGGCTCCCAATTGCTGTTGTTTCAGAGTTTATAGAACAGGTTTCTTGACACGCATACGAATGCATACCTATCTCAGCTCAAAACATAGCTACCTATGGTCATTGCTTTACTGAATTTCTGTGGTTACTTCTTGACAGGCATACACATTTCTTTGAGAACTGTTTTTCATCTCAAAACATGGTTGGAAAAGTTGGTGCCGAACACAAACTATGCCGCAGAGAGTAGAGTGCCCCAAAGAGTGACAGCCGTCCTGAAGTTATGCTTCGAGATGACTCTAGATCAAGTTTTGTACTACCTGGAGGAGACCGTTGATTTTCATGCTGCCCCACCAGCCCTGCATCTGATTCGCCTTCAGCTCATGGGTGTGGAACTATGCAGTAATCGTCCAGGTCAAGACATTCCGAACAGTGTTGTGATAGCTTTAAAACAGTATAAGAATACAGAAACAGACTTTTAAATTTGTGTACAAATGGCCCAAGATTCTCAGCATTAAGTGTGCCAACATGAGGGACTCAGTTCTCAAGTCAAAAGTGTTTTATCTGTTGTTAAAAAAACACAAAACCTTATCAAACAGAAAGAACAAAGCTGAACAGAACACATTCATGAGCCATTCATATCCTAATGACTCACCACACAGGCTTATATCTCAGAAAAACCCTGTGTCACCATCATGTAACATGTGCAATGAATTGACAAACTGTTCAGGTCAAAGATAAAACAATCAAAATCCTCGATGAAGAAAACTGTTCATTGAGAAAAGAGAACACAGATTTCAAAACTAAGCTACAGCACAAGAACAGAAGCACTTGTAGAGTTACAAAATGAAAGGCAGAATTTGCTTCACAGACTGCAACGGGGTCCTCTGGCCATCCATTTAACCCACCTTACATTGCCACTTTAGACATAAGTCGAAATTAATACTTGCCGAGCCCCTAAATAAACTATCAACTGGCACACCGAAAAGACACAGAACTTAAAATTTGAACTTGCGAATGAGGAGTTGTTTGCCTGTTGGGGGGATTTGTTGAAGGAGCTCCACAAACATGAGGACAACCTGTAGCTAAAAATGTCCAAACTGACCAAAGCAGCAGTGTACTGTACACAACCAACATCGAGAAGCAGAAAGCCAGCTTGGCCCTGTATGTATTTCATGAGAAGACTAGTGCTGCTCTTCAATCTTCATCCATTTTAAATCAGTCTCCTTTGGTGGCATCCACCGCACAGTTCATCAACAGCGTGGTCCAGCACAGGAAGTTGTTGAACTGCAAAAGCATCCATGAAGCAAGAGGAAATAATGACTCAGACAAGCGTGTTATTGACAAGTCAGATGAAGGCCAGAGGGTCTGGCATTATTAAGAAACTGGGCACAACGTGCAGAGGGGATGAAACAAAGTGGAGATGTCAGAGAGAAATCCCTAACAAATGACACTGATGGAGCTATCAAGTGGACCTGTCTTTGTCTTGCCGACGTTTGTGAGCACCTCCTCTCAACAGACACCAGTGTGCTCCACGAATACCTTCCACTGGAGTTTTTTCAACAGGACGACCTTGAACACCACTTCGCTGATTTTAGAATGGCTGCAAGCTGCAATTTTTATATCACTGTGCAGGAAGTGTTCACCACAAACAGTTTCGACCGTGCACAGATGATGCTTAAGTTCTGTGAGGAATTCGACAACAGTAGAAAGAGTCATCAGTGTAATCTGTGTGAGAAACCCCTGACGGAAGAGGAGGTTCTTATTATGGATGACATGGTCAGGGATGTAAACACAGTGAATTCAGATGAAAAACTGCGTCTTTTTGATATAGCAGGCTATGTAGCTTCCAAGCATGAAGAACTCTGCGGGAATGTTAATGAGGAAGCATTTGAGGAAGTGAAGGAGTACCTGAGTCTCTTAGACAAGGGAAAACTTACATATATCCGACTGTCGAGTTTTACGACCTCATTCTCCTGGCTTATGTTGTTTTTTTTAAAACACCAGAAAAACTATGCCGAAACAGATTTGTTCATATTGTGGCAACATTTCCTGAAACATTTCACGTGGATTTAAAGCTGACCAGCAAGGACCCTCTTATGCGGCTGAGCAATGTGTTCCTTAAGCAGTTTGCCAGATTAAACAACAAGGAAAGTTCGTTCAAGTCAAGCAGATCTGCTATAGTGAAGCTGTCTTCTGGGTCTGCCAAGAGACAGTAAGAACAGGTAAGAATTCACAATTTATGAAATAGTCAAAGTTGCTATACGCACTATAGTGTATCTGTCCAAATATTGCTACACGCAATATAAACAATAGGTGGTTTCTTAGTTTAAAGGAGTATGGGAATAAGAGAAATTAAATGAAAAGAGAGGACCACCCCCAAACGAATTCAGAACCTTTAGGAAAAAAAGGGAAACTGATTCAGCAACCCAAGACGAAAGAGGGAAAGTTCCGTTTGTGTATGGACATTTGCACACCCATGGCAGACTACATCTCCTTACTTGGGCGTGCCTAGTTTAATGAAAGAATTGATCCTCTACAGACCATTTAGGAAGTTCAGCTGAAGGGATGGCAAAGATGATCATGGAGGTTTTACATGAGTTCAACATCAGCGAGAAGGTGGCAGCAGTGACGACGGACAACGCATCATCGATGGTGAGCCTTGTGCGAGATCACCTGAAAGTCCTTCATGTCAGATGCTTTGCACACACCTTGAACCTTATCATTAAGGAAGCCCTCAGAGCAACGTTGCGGTGAAAGCCATTGTTAATTATTTTCAGAAGTGCAAAGGCTGCTGCAAAGCTGAAAACAACCCAGGCAGACTTGTGAAAGAAAGAACTGAAGCAGTGTCAAGATGTCAAAACAAGATGGAATTCGACTCTCAAAATGCTGAGGAGGTACTGTGAGTTACACAGGAGGGGGGGTCAAATCTAAGTCAAATCCAAGTCTGACCCAGTTTTCACTAAAAAATGGTTAACCCGCTTATCCAGTTTTTGAAAATGTAAGTCCGTGCCCAGCACTAGCATTGAGCTTGTCTTGTTTTGATGATCAGCAACATCACATTGAGATAAGCTGCCGAATTGAGGGAACTGGTTACCAATAGCCTTGACTCATTGTTGTTGGGTTTAGATGGGTTAAATATTCATGTTAGTTGATACAATTGTCTCCCTTGACGCTCATTCTTCCTTAATGAGTCATGCCCTTTGACTCGAACTGGGAGAGGTCTGTGCCAACCCTACTGAGTAGCACTCCGTAGCTTGAATACTTGAGTAGTAGTACCCAGCCTGGCATCGAGCGCTCCCAAGCGGTAAACTTCCGAGTAGCGCACACACAGCACTAACACACACTCAAACACAATATGCCCACCAGGCCCCCCACTCAGGAGACATCTCCAGCCTCGCTGTTACTCTCCCACACAGAGACATTGTCCCCACAGGCGGACAACACGGCGGGCTGGGACGGGTGGTGGCTGATGGAGTGCACAGCGCGACTCGTCTCGTGGTCCAACGTGTCGCACAGTTTGGCCTGAGGAGCACAACACAGGAATGACTAGAATCAAAGTCCCGCATGTTACAATTACAGCCTAGCATGTACACAGCAAAATCGACGGGAAGCAGAAATCTTTTCGTTATGCAAGAATTTTGCTATATATGTTTTGAATACTAAAATTAATCATGTGTAAGACTAAATTTGGGACCTGAAAACTTTGCTATGAGCATGTTTTGCTATGTGTGCATGCGGGACTGTAGTTGTTTCTTTGAGAAAAGAGAAGTACATTGACAAAAATAATGGTCATCTAGTGCAAAGAAAAAGACAGAAACAACACAGCAGAAAGAAAAGAAGCTGGATCTATCAGTGTGTCCTCCAACCACGTTCAAAATTAGTGGTATGAAATATACTTCTTTAAACAAGAAAACTACAATGTGTGCGAAGTGGGCAATAGGAAGATGCTATGGTGCTTTTTGCCCCTTCTTTCCTATCAAACATCTATCATCTTCATCTCTCCTCATTCTTTTCTTTGTACGCTATTCTCTAGAAACACCTCTAGTCTTTGGCATTTATATGACACATTTGTGTTTCAAGTCCCATTAAACCCTTATTAAAATTTAACACATAAATACTGGCATACGGAGCAGCATGAAAATTCAAACCACTAATGAAATGAAATAGGATGCAGGGCTGTGCTCAAGGCTTTCTTCATCTTCTCATGAAGTAAAGAGTCCTTGCGGAGTAATTATCTCTACTTTCATGCTTCCAATAAATATCATACTGCATTAATATATCATACCATATTCCCCAGGGGAGTTTGGATCTTCTTCTCTGCTAAAACCAGTTTTGAGTGAACAGAAGCACATCCACAATGTAAATAACATTTTGTGCTGAGACAAAAAAGCAAGAAAATGTAGGCCCTTCCTGTGGCACTCTGCAATCACCCTCTATAAGTATAACCAGTAGGCCTACAAAGATAGACATAGCTCACAAACTCAAGATACAACTTGAAATACTTTCTCCTCACCTCAACCAAATCCCACACATAAATTTTTCCGTCTTCTGATCCACTCAAGATGTGAGTGTCCGACTGATTGAGACAACTCTCAATTTTATAGTTGGAATTTTTCAGCCCAGTGTACCTGAAAGAAGGGGATAAAATAAAACTTAACAAAGAAATGTTAATGTAAATCAAGACATACACATAAAGTTGAAATGGTATTTTAGTTTCATATATACTGCAACAGAAATGCTAGCACAACTTCATATACAGTGGAGTCCACTTATAACGAGTCCTGAAACAACGAGAAGTCTGTTTTAAAGACACTATTCTAAAACCCTGTTTTTTTCCTTTCTTTATCTTTGTAAATAAAATACTGGTATAGCGCAATCGGACAAACAGGGGAGTCATTTATAGCGGAACATTGCTGCTGCTGTGCACAGCGCATAGGCCAGTTATACATAAACCTCGCCAATTGAGAAACTTGGCGACAAGCAGAATGCATCGTGTGATAGGCCAGCCTAGTCTAGATTATCTAGGCCTACCACTACCCATGCCCTCACTTCTCCGATGCGGGGATGGAGAGGTCACAATGCTGTGATGGATGAAGTGTATGTGTAGTAACATGTGCAAGCAGACGAAACACAACGGGTTATGGTGGGGTGGGGGACAACACAGCGGGCGAGTTAGCCCAGGGCGTATTCTTTCTGATCGCCAACGCCATGCTGTCAACATCGCTAGCGCTTGAGAAAGAAACCCGATTCGATTTTTGATCAAGTAAGACCTAGAGGTCATGTTGAACAATGTCATTATCAGGGTAGATAACAAAAAGAAATAAATAGAACACCACACGCATAGATCAGGCCTACTTTATTATTTCCATTGAATTTACTACTGGATTCCTTATAACGAGAATCCTGGTATAACGGACATTTCGCACCGGTCCTCTACGTCTCGTTATAACAGGATTCCACTGTATAAATATTTGATGACAATAGCAAATTGAAGAAAATTGAAATAAAAACCCATCCCTCCTATTGAAAACCAATAACCACACGGAACCTTCTCCACCAGTCATGGAGTATGAATAAGAGTTTGAGTAAGGAAAAGCACCACACAGGTACAAACACACAAACACTGCCATTTGATGTCGGGAAAAGTAAGATAGACAGAATAAAACAACAGAGAGAAAGAAAAGAAGTAGGACCTACCAGTGGCACCCTCCAACCCACCCGTGAGTTTGAGTAAACAAAAGGGTAGCGTCATTATTTTTTCCATAACAAGCTTAGGAGTCTAAACCAATATCAAGAGGGGCTGAGACTTAAAGGGTTACCCTGCTTGGGTGAAAAACAGATGAGCATTTTTCTTTACCATCATATGCGGACTAATAACATTGCAATGGGTGGCTGTCTTGCACAATTTTCACTGTTTCTCATTATATCATAAAGCAAAGTACTCACTCATTGAGCATTTCTCCCGTGTCCTTGTCGAACAGTTTGATGGACGTGTCCTGTGCACTCACCAGCACACACTGGCCATCCCGGGTGAAGTTTACACATGACACAGGCTCTGGTTAGGGGAAGGCATAAAAAATAACGCTTCAGAAAACTGTAACAACTACAATAAAATTAAAACAATCCCTACCTTTACCAGAATTTTACAGAAAGTGAATAAGCAGAGAGTTTGCACTCATCATGAAAATGATTTAGATGAAAGGTGAAATAATGATTTAATGAGCTTGAGTAATGATAAGCACTATGGTTGGATAATGGTTATTTTGTGCAAGGAAATAGCACAACAGGTAGACAGATAAAAATAACAGAGGAAAAAAAAAATTGAGGAAGAACAAAAAGCCCCAAAAATAAAGCGACATAGGAAAGTATAAGCTCAACCAGAACACAAACACTCTCCCCACAACCAAAACTGTGTTTTGTAGAGACATTAAGAATCAATTTGTACCATAATCAGTAGAGCTTTTCTGAAAAAACAACCCCAACAACCTCTATATCTAATTACAAGAATATGACTGAGCCTGAAAAAAACTAGTTTTACCAGTTACATCATAGCTTAGACTTAGGACATATACATCTAATTTTTATTAAATTGAGCAAACACTTAAGTATGTTCTTTTACATCTCAAGGAGCAGAACAATGAGGTCATGTTTTACCAATTCACTAAGATTTCACAGAAATTTCATAAACATAGATTGCAAATCAGCCGTATCTCCTGAGCCACAGTAATTAGAACCATTGAACTCCATTGAAATACCGCTATTTCAAAAGGTGTTTGACTATTCATGAGCATAAATGTGAAAAACAAGGCTACCAAAACACTTTTGTCAGTCTGGCACCAGTCTTGAGGGTGATCCAACAGCTAGGGTTAGGTACCAAAGTAATACAAACTACAACTCTACAAAACAACAACAGAAACAGCAGACATGAGATATGTTGCAATAAGTAGCCTACTTCCGACAAAGTCTGTGAACATTCTGCCAATCCGTAAGTCGTATCTTCGAATCCGAGAATCAGCAGAACCAGAGAGAATCTCGTGGTCGGATACTTGGACAAAAGTGACACTGTCTTTTGCCTCATCCAGAACCTGAAAAGGTGAAAACAAACCTGTTAGAGATCCCCATTCATGGTAACCTTCAGTAAACGCAATTCTTTATACATAATCATGAGAATTGTGATAACCTGTAAACTAACATATCTTCCGTCATAACCATATGATAATCTATGATCTAACATACATCCCCCCCCCCCCCTCATCCTCTAAACCACCTGCAAATTCCACGGTTATCAAAATGTTACAAATATACAGAATAAGATTTACAAATGTCCAGACCTAACGCATAACACAGACCTACCTGAATGGGCTGATTTTTACGACTTCGTACATCCCACGTTCTAATTGAACAATCCAGAGAGCCTGACAAAATCAGAGTAGACTCTTCATTAAAACTGACACAGTTCACTGTCCCTGTGGAATAAATATAAAAGTAACAGTGAAAATTTTGATATAAATCAAATTCATTTGGATTTGAATTGCCTCAATATAAAAGTCATTTTGCAGCAAAAAAAACACAACCAAACAATGCTTAACACCATTTTAAAGTAAGGAGAGACACTTGACAAAATAAGTCCCCAAGTCGGAACCAAACTCCTGTCTTTTACCTGCAAGCCAAAGAAGCTAACTATCAAAACATACATGCCAGTAAAGAAAGAAAGGTAAAACTAAAGTATGATCCATCCATGCCTTCCCACAACATGACAATCACAGCCTTGTTTCCTGTTCCTGTGGAAAATAGTCAGCAATCCCACTGTGGCCCCTATGGCGACCAAGGACGTTGAATACTAGATCAAACACTTCAAATTGGAGGTCGGGAGAGGGTCATGGAGGGGGGGCTTACTTTACTTTTACTTAAAAACTTTTAAGTGAGAATAGTCCATTCATAAAATAGTCGCCTACCTGCATGGTCTCTGTATTTACGTATGGCCTGGCCCGTGGAAACATCAAACAGAACGACTGTCTTGTCCATTCCGCCTGAACAGATGTGGGAGTTGTCTCCTGAGCTTTGGGCATCCAAGACTTCGTAGCCATGACCCGAGTACGTCTTGAGGTGAAGGCCACGCAGGGGATTCCACAGTTTCACACTCTTGTCGCTGCCACATGTCAGGCAGTAGTTTCCGTCAACTGAAACAAAAGTATGAAATGGGAGAAAAGTTGTAATTTTATGCCCCATCAGACCAAGCATAGTCTGTAAAAATAGTCCGACATAGGAAAAAGTCTGTGAGTACTCAAAAAGGTTTGAGAGCGAGTACAAATCTTAAGTTATATTGTATAGACCAACATCTATAAAGTATTATTACGCTGGAAATAAGAATTTTAAATCATAAAAATGTTAAATTTTGCTTTCTTGAAAGAGTCTTGATACAATAAACATTATTATGTCTTGCATTTCATCACATCAGGAAGGGCAGATCAACAAATTAACCCCGCAATAGACTCACTAAAATTATGTGTAAGAATTCCCTCCACAATACAAGCTTTCAAAGCAGGATGTTCACATGTGCGTCTTCTTATACAGGATCTTCGGGATAATCCGGTTTTCGCCCCAACAATAACATGGAGTGTGGATTTTTGCTCCACCGACGATTACTTCTGCTTCTAACGATTACTTTTCGACAAAAGTGCCAATATGACGTTTGATGCGCAGCCTGCGAGAGATATCAAACCTAATTGCAAAATACCAAATTGCGGTTAAAATCAGGGGGGCATGACCTCCATATTTTAATCAGGTCAGGGGAACCCCGTTAAAAAAAAAGTGAAACATTACTGCTCCTTTTGAATCATTTTGTACTGAAAAATAGCAGCGCATCTCTCAACTCTCTTTTGGATAAAACATCGATATCTAATTTTAAGTCAGTATCAATATCCAGTACTCTTGGGGCCAAAATAGTAGAATGCCTATCGACAGGATTTTAATCAAAAATGTAAAAACTCCATGACTCATGTCTATTGCAAGGCATCGCCATTGTAATCAATCTTATTATTACTTATTTAGGATACACCGCTTAGCCTTTAGGCTTAGACACTTAAGTCTGTACACACGTCCAGTATTCCGTCTCAGCAATCCTTTAGTTTGCCGAGGCATCCAGCGTTAGGTCTTAAATCAGTGGCAGGTGACCTGCAGTTTCGGAAGTGGCTATTCTCATCCGGGGTGAGAATAGAAATACGATCGACCTCTCACCCCAGGTGAGACTTGCGACCGTAGGCTATTCTCACCCGGTTTGAAGCAAGAAGACCTGTTTTTCCTCATTTCGGAATACTTTCTATCGATGTGGATGATCAAATTGATAAAAGCCAAGAAAAAAATTAATATAAATAGCACAAAAGTAAGCTAATTTGATTGTCTTCAAAGATGCTATGGCTATTTCACTGTTCGAATCGAGCCGAACTACGCGGGTCGCCATCTTGTTTTGCCCGGAAGTTCTCGCAAGATCTACTCCTCCCCTCTCTCTCTCTCTCTTTCTGAATACTGTCTATCGGTGTGGACGATCAAATTGACCAAAACAAAGTTAAAAAATGATGTTAAAACACAAAAGCAAATTAATTTGGTTGTCTACAAAGATGCTACGGCTATTTAACTTTTCGAATCGAGCCGAACTACGCGGGTCGCCATTTTGTTTTGATCGGAAGTTCTCGCGCTACTCCTCTCTCTCTCCACTGCCCACAGACAAAATTGTACGCTTTTAGTAGGCTACAGTTGTAATGGAACGTTTGTTCACGGCACAGAATTCTACAATTTTTCTGTTACAATCACAGTGTAGAATTCTGTGGTTTAGGGTGAACGCAAAATTTGTTGGCCTAGATCTAAGCTATAACGGTGAACGCACACCGGGTGAGAATAGCCAAAAGACTTGCCTGCACTATATATTCTCACCCCGGGTGAGAATAGAGGTGGCCTGCAGTTTCATGCGTCGGGTCGGGGACTGACTGGGGTCAACTCGTGCACAGCGATATCCTATCTCGTCCTTATCAAAACGCTTTTCTTCTCCTAATTTCATGAGCCATAAAAGGATGCTCGCTCTACCCCTGAATCTATTAAGTCTATTTCTTCACGAGTTTCGCTTTTTCGACATGTATTTTCTTGATATTCAGTGAAAGTTTCAACCTTTCCATTGATATGTTTGTGCATAATAACAGTTTTAATTCGTGAGTGTTGGCTATACTTATATGTAGTCACGTGATTGGAGGGGTATCCTGGTGTGACGTCAAACAAGATGGGCGCTGTACCTAAAAATAGTGGTGCTTTTTCGGTAGTTCCCACCCCCCTTATTTGAGCCTGACCTACATCTAGATCTAGATCTATACGTTTGATTCGCGGTGAGCTA